GCGCCTGGCATTCTACAGGAAATACTGTGTGATTCTGTGGGAAAATATTTAGTCATGAACAGAGAACACTTCATTAGTCCTCAGATTTTTATTGTGTATGTATAAAAGTGTGCAATAATGTGTGGTTTCCAAAATGTTACATTATACACAGCTTATACTATGTCCTATATACTGTGAACGTCACACTATTTTTTTTTATATTTTATAGTCTGAAACTGTTATAATAACAATATTATAAGTACACTTGATTCAGTTACTTGGAACTTGGTCAGAAATATTAAAGAATTGCATAGGTCTTAGAAGTTGAAAATAATCACACGTTTAAGACAGTTTTCTTTTAATTCAAATTGTTCTTCAGTTTAATATAGGCAAATTTTAGTGGTATTAATTATTAAGAAGTGGTTATGATACAGTTAAAATAGAGTAGATTATTGATATGTACTTAATGCCTTGCAATCATGCAATGTTACCTTTCCAAATTAGACAATGTCTCTTCATAATTTGTAGAAGAATAATATACTAAGAACATTTGAGGCTTGATTATATGTAATTCCTGAGTCTGGACAGATATGTTTTTTGCTTTTCTTTGTTCCACATTTATACTGCTAGTAATAGCAACGGTATCATATTTGCATGCAGTGTTGCAACTGACAAAATATTTTATCACACTCCCCAACAACCCTGTGACAGACAGCACATTTTACAGCTGAATTTACTGAGGCAGGTTAGCTGGATCAGAGCAATTGGTAAAATTGAGCTTTGGATCTGAATCTTTTCAGCTAACTCCAGTACTCATTTCACTACATTTTATCTGTAAAGGTTTCCTTTTAGGAAGAATTGTTCACAGCCTTACAGTTTTTAATCCCAGTAACTCTGGTTGTTATCCTCATGTCTTGCACATAATAGGCAATCATTAAAGAATTGTAGAAGTGCAGAAGGAAGGAAGGAAGGATGGAAGGCAGGGAAGAAGGAAGGCAGGCTAGCAAAAAGGGAGCCCTACTGTGTGGGGCCGGATTTAGGGAGTCTGTAAATGGTGACCTTCATGTCCAGATCCTTGGCTAAGTCAGAGAACTGTCCAGCCTCCTCAGGGATGGTCATGAGTCCTGATCTATAGGCCAGGAGAGACCAGGTCAAGAGTGAAACACACCAGAGTGTTTCACTGGTAACAAGTTACTGCTTTATTTATACTTTCTTCCTTGTAATACTGTAGTTGCTCACATCTCAGGGAAAGTGTGTTTGAGATAAAGTATTCATATAAATGGCAAACATAAAGGTAGTAGCTTCATATTTTGCAGTATCCCTACCTAATTGCTGTTCATTTAGCAACTTACAAGAAGGTGATAAACTCCCGGATTATAACAAACTAGTCGCGAAGTGGTGAGAGGCCGGTGTATTAAGTACCAAATGAGTGAGATCTACTTCACCTACTTCCAGGGACAACTGTGAGGGTCATCTTTTATATATCGAAACACATTCTACCCGCACAACCTTTAGCTTCACCACTGATAAAGTCCTCCCAGCTCCCCCCAGAAAGAATGTCGTTTTCCATAGCTAGGTTTAAGAACCTGCTTTGTCTATTTCATTAATTTCTGGCAGAATTCCTAAATGGAAACTGACTTAGCAATGCAGCATGTGTAAGCCAAGGAGAAAGGGTATCACTGCAAAATTTATAGATCTGCTTAAGACTGGCTGTGCACTGCATTGAACTAAGGAGAATAAAAAGAAACCTGGCAAAAATCTGAAGGGTTCATGTATCAGCATCGCCAACCCAGATTCTCCTGACAGTTACAACTTATTCCTTTGTTTGGCTGTTGGTTCAGAACAGCTGTACCCAGTCGGCTGACACTTAGCATCACCTGGGAGTTCATTACTGCTTTACAATTCCATGATCATTTTTGTTCTTGCTGCGGCTAAAAGGATGGAAATACTAACAAGCACAATAGTCTATGATCATATAAAGATAGTTGTTACTGAATTTTCTCCAAGAATCATTTAATCATCAGATTTACCATTGCTAGCCTCAGGTGATGATCTAAGAATTTTTCAAATGAATGTGTCATAACTTGGTGCTGCAGGGTAGCATTAAAAGGATAATCGTTTCAGAGGGAAATATTTTTAAAAACCAAAAAAGGGGAGATTATTTCCTTTCTTTTTAATCTTTTATGTAAATTCAATTTAGTAACGTAAACTGTATTATCGGTTTCAGAGGTAGAATTTAGTGATTCATCAGTTGCATATAACACCCAGTGCTCGTTACATCAAGTGCCCTCCTTAATGCCCATCACCCAGTTCCCCCATCTCCCCCACATTCCCCCCACCCCGTCCAGCAACCTTCAGTTTGTTCCCTAGAGTTAAAAGAGTCTCTTATAGTTTGCCTTCCTCTCTGTTTTCCTCTTATTTTATTTTTCCTTCAAGAGGGAATTATTTTTAGTTTTAACATACATTTATCTTAAAGTCCAAGGAATAGGTATGATGTGTCTGTCTGTTGCTTCTATCACTGCTAACCTTTACTGTTAGTTTTATAATGTATATGGGGTGTCTGCTCTTGGGGGGGAATGTTGGTTTCATTGTTTTTAGTAAAAGCCTCAGGATTTGTTCAGGAAGAGCCTAGTGCAGTGTTTGCCGCTCAGCTTGGGTGAAGGGTAATCCTTGGCAACCTGTCAGGGATTCAGAGACCACTGGGGTCTGCTGGACGCTCAGAGTTTCTCCGTGGGAATGACTGGTGACAGCACACAGCAGGTGGTCCGCTCAGTACTGTCACCTGGGGCAGCAAGGGAACCCGGCCCAATTTGTCATCCCACAGTATCCTGTCAGCAGTTAAAAGTCTTAAGCACAAAACCTTTAACATTTAAGGCAAACTTCCTCCTGGTATCTTTTAAAAGCAATTTCCGTGGATGGAAATATTAATACACAGTGCCCAAGTTTTGCACATGAATATCTAATATTGGATTCAAATGATATGTTGTGTGATCGATAGAAATGTTGTGTACTCTATAATTTTACTAAACGAAATGATGCCGATTACATTGCCCTCTACCTGACAAAGAGGTGAGAGTGTAGCTGATAATACCGGGTAAAATCACCCCTCTTCCTCCTCTCTTTCGTTCATTTTGTTTGGTTTGTAGATCTGTGAAGGATACCTTGAAATACATTTTGAAAGGACTTTTCTTTGGAGTATTAAAAAAAAATTGACCCAGTTCTTAATTATTCATCATAATGATTCAAGAGTAACATGCAACTTTGAAATCCCCAGATTTCCATTTTCAAGATCCTTATCTGATTGATAAATACCTTCCCTACTTGCCCAGTAGTAATACCTACTTCTACTCATTGAGTGCCAGGGTTGTGCCAATTCCCTTACCTGGATTATTTATGATCCCTAAAAAATCCTGCAAGAGTACCATTACCCTTGTTTTCAAGATGGGAAAATTGCATTCTGGGTGGCTAAGTGATGCGCTCAAGGACTCAAAGCTAGTAGGAGATAAGATTTGAACCAGATCTATCTCCAAAGTGCAACTCAGCCAGACTCATCTTTGCTGTTACCCCTAAAAGCCATGCTGAGAGTCATGAAATGGCCCCAAAACATGTCCTCGATGGGAGAATGCAAGGCAAGAAAGGCCTTACGTAATTTGGAAACTGAATAATCAGACGTTGAGTATTTTTATCAACTAGAGTAAAAATCAAAATTGGAGAAGTCAAAAACGAAAAAAAACAAAATGGGGACTTGTGAAGGAAATGAAGAAAAGCCAAAGAAAATGAAGAAAAAAAAAAAGAGAGAGGGATCAAATAAAAGTAAAAAAGGGCATCTGAGTTTCACATGCAAATAATAAAATAGAAATTGGGAAGGAAGTCAAGGAATTAAAAATCACTAAGAATGAATCAGTAGCCAGGAAAAAATTTTGTCTAGAGATACATCTATATATTTTTTCTTTTTCCTGAAAAAGTCAATAGGATCTTTGTTGGCTTACCATAATGCTTTTGCTTTACATCCTGATAATATTGGTCATGAACATTATGTAAGTTAGACTGGTTTTGCTTGAGACTGAGCACTGCTTATGGTGTTGCCAGTGGTGTAAGCTGGGAGAAGTTCTGGTACAAAATGCCATTGAGTCTCAGGACCGAGAGCTTTGGCTTCATTTAATCCATGTGCCTAATGGTGGAGCCATCATTTTCAGTTTGCTCTCACATACCTGAAGTTTGACAAGTGGATATCAAGCTTATCATAGTGGTAAGCCAAAATTACAGTCTAGTGTCTGCTCCTTATTCAAAATGGATGAATTTTGTCATGCTCTTCTACTGTTGCAGCATTATTAGACTCTTTCCATTTCCTCAAAAGTATGGTGGCAGTCAGACATTCAACAGTGTTTTCTGAGTAGAATAGAAATTTTGAATAGAATGGCTCCTGATCTGTATGTTAATATGTATATAACTAATAATATATATTTTTATTAGGAACAAATAAGCCACCTTGTATTCTTCTTTGCCATATATATATATATATATATATATATATATATATATATATACACATAATATATAGAGATCTAAAAATTATAAGGTCAAATATACACATAAAATGTAATTTCCAAAACAATAAGTAGTTGCCATTCAAAAGTGACCTTGAACTTGAGTTGCACTGACATGACTTTATATCATTATCTTTGAGCCTTCCTGGAAAATATATTTTACTGACTGGCAATTGGTCTTCTCTTTTCCAACTTCCTTAGAAGATAAAATATTGGTTATAAAAAATGTTGAGCCTTTTTCCTATTTCATTCTAATTAAATTAATTAACTGTGATTACCCTTTGATAATTTTATTCTATTGAATTACACCCAGAAAGTACTTCACTTGTTTGCTGTTGTTTATTAAACCGGAAAGTGTAGTGAAGTCTGCCATACCTTATGTGAACTCTTCCTTTTAAGAGGATTTAAGACTAAAGGCTGTTGAGAAGAGGGAAAGACACATGTAAACCTTCCCCTTCTTTATCTTCTATCCAGCTACGTCTACATCTACAACCGGGACAAGCCATCTTGTAAAGTGTGCAGAGAAGGAGAAAACTTTCTGTGTGAATGGAGGCGAGTGCTTCATGGTGAAAGACCTTTCAAACCCTTCAAGATACTTGTGCAAGTAAGAAAAGCAATCCTCTGTGTGGCTTATGTCCGTAACAGCTTCTTTCAGATGACTCCATGTCTCATGATGTCTTGTTGCTTCTTTTCCCGATTTTGTTGCATCCTGTTGAATAATGCTGTTTTATTTGTAGAGTGTTTTGAAAAGTTCACACCATTTGTCATCTCCTCTGTTACATCCAGAATTTTTTGCTTGTTTCAATTTTCTTTGTGCCTTTATATTTATAAAGTTGCTTTCCCCATGGTTTTCCTCACTGGTACCTAGAAGAGATGTGCAAATATCATAGAGGCCTATAACTTTTGAAACCTCCTTCTCCATCCAGTATATGAATAAGGCTGTAAGATAATGTGCCTTTTTACCCCAATGATCACCTGCAAAATGAATAGGACAACTAAAAGCAGCAGAAGGGCAGAAGATTCTTTACTTATGCATCTGTTACACTTGGCATTAGTTTATTGGTTTACAACTATTCTAAAAATGGAATTTAGGTGATCTCACTAATAGGAAAAAAAAAAAACCCAAATTGCACGTGTTTGGAAATGCATTTAGTGTGTGTACCATCATTGTGTGTAGAAGGCAGAGTGTTCTTTCATGCACTGCCCTTGTTTGGAGATATATTTAGAATGGTGCTCTTTCCAGTGACCTGAGGAAGTTGATGCACCATTAAGAAGGATCACAGTCATTCTTTCTTAACAGGCAGAATGAAACAATGATATTACCAGTACATTAAATATTTAAACCTTGCAGTTAAAATTAGTAGGTCTTATTAAAACCACATGTTTATTGTGCCATGCCTTTTAAGTCTCCTCTTGATATTCAGGCTGTATGTGGGACATGGACGCATATAATGTGATATGGTAAAAAATGTGTAATGTCCCATTGAAATGATGAAAAATTCATATTTATTTTTCAGTTGCCTGATGTCTGTGTCCCATTGTTCTAAAGTAGCAGTGATTATCATAAAGGAGGAAAAAAGCCATGTCATCATAAAAACTACCTCCTGCTCCAGAATATGAGCTTGTGGCTTACATGTGGACAAAGAAGAGCAAGTTTGTCAGAGACACAGCTGAGCTAATAGAGCAATTAGCAAAATGGAAAAAAAAAGGCACAAGAAATAATTAAGAAGGCCATTTCCCCTTTACATCATATATATAGTATAGAACTATTTATGTGCCAGTTCTAAGAAAACCTTTTATTTTGTACAAGTTACAAAGGACATCATTAAAGACACATGTTTTAAAATCATCACATCAAACAAAAACACCATTTTTTGTGGGAAACGCTTTGTCGCACCCTGTGCTGTTCTAGACAAGGGCTGTCTGTAGGGTGTGTCATGGACCTCAGGTACTAAGTACAAGTGAACAAGTACCTCCCAGAACCACTTTCTTGCCCTCAAAAGCTTTTTTTTTTTTAAGCTCTTCTTATAAAAGAGCAGAAGTGGTTCCAAGAGAAGACAAGTTTTGGTAGTTGTGTAGCTGATTTTATCAATGAAGACAGGCAACTTATAAGATTAAATATAGTCTTTTAGAGTGAACAGAAGACTAAAAATCACAAGAATAGAATTCTAATCTCAATTACTAAATATCTCTTTCACAGAGATAGGTAATAGCCTTAAGCCAAGATAAAACTCATTGGTAAAGGCCTTTTCAAAATTTGAAAGCAAGATGAAAATGAAAGAGCATGTAGAAAATTATTTCTTCTGGGTCCAAATTACTTCATATGACAATGAGTGTTTATTGGGTTAACAGTAATCCTACAGATTCACTTTTTGATCACGAGTATATTGAAATCTACATACCTATAGTAAAAAATAAAAGTTGGTCAGTTTTGGTCTTTGGTTCTGCTGACTTGCTGTGAACACAACACAAACATAGCACCCCCATATTTATCATATTGAATTGAGATGAAGAAATTTTATAATCTCCTCCAAGGTTTTCTCTCATCGAAATAGAAGCAAACAGAAGCTGAGAATTATAATCTATAAAATATGAGGTTCATTTATTACATGGGGAAATTTTGTTATTCCGTCCTAATCTTAGGCAAACCACCTAATTGTTTTAATAAATCGCCTTGAAAAAAAAAAAAACATTGAAATTATAGGTCCTTAAGTTCTCCTTCTTTTTAAACAACTGCACCCAAATTATCTATGTCTCATACAACTACTTCTTGAGGAAAGCATCTGAGACCACTATATTTTAATTATAATAATGAAACATCATTTTTCATCATCGCCTTTGCAAAGATTGACAAGCTGCGTGGGTGCATCTGATAGTTTCTGAATACCTCTAAGGAACCAGCACAGTGATTTTCCACATATTAATTTCAGCTGTTCTGCAGCCCTCCCACGTCCTACACAAAACATGCAATCACATAAGTGCTGTTCATTTGTTCCATTTTGGTATTACGCCAACAACCGTAATTTTTTTTCACCCACCAGTTTTTCATTAAATTTTAAGCCCAATCCAGAAAAAAAAAAAATACTTGCTGTATATTTTTTTAATCTTGAAGTGAAATGTTTGTTATTCCTCTAATAAATATTAAAGCAGCAAACCATGAATGAACACGATGTATCCCCCCAAGCTCATTGTCTAGTGGGTTATGCTTGTCTTCCACTTCTCAGCAGATTGGCATCATAATTTTATTGGGTTGGGTTTTGGGTTTTTTTGTGGTAATTATAATCTTTCAGAAAAGTGTTAAAACGTTTATCATTGGATCTTGTTGGAAAGAAAATCTTTGACACCTATGATTTGATAATTGTTTTACCCCCTTTTGAACCATCTTTTTATTGAACCATCAAAGCAGGCTAGTGCCTTGAGGAAAGAATTAGAGTATATTTGACATCCAGAATATTTCAGGCCTTTTTTGTTGAATGAAAGTGTTTTTTTTTTAATCCTTGTATTAAAAACATCTTTAACATAAAAAAATAATCACTACTCAGAATTGAAACAAAGGCACGTAATATACCATGTCCTTTGATAGTATACTGTTCACTAGACCACATGAATAGACACAGAAAACGTAAAAAAAAAATGCTACATTGGCTCATCATAGTCCTGTGTACGAAGCCAGTTCATAGTTTCCATATGGTCCATCTGTCTAAAGCAAAACATTGCTGAAGCATGAGCCACATCGTTCAAAATCAACTTTATCCCATGACTCAGAAACACCACAAGCATGGAAGTTTCCAAGTTGTCTCTCTGGTCCCCTAACCCACTGTTGTCTTCTTGGGAGTTGAAGTGGAAGACTGTATAGCAGATTTCTTTTGTCTCTCCACTTAGAACAAGGTGTTCCAAATGGATTAACCATGTAACAGTTAAACACTTCTCTGAGGAGAGGTTTGCTGGTTACTTGGACATTCCCCTGGGGACTGTGTGGGAATTTCAGCAGTGGTTCTCATCTTTTATATTGCTCTTCTCTCCATAGTAATTTAAAATCTATCCTGGGGAGAAAATAGTTACCATTCCAGATCACATAAAGACAGAAGAATCATTCCATCTTTCACCTTTTGATGCCTTGTGTAATCGCATGGTTCAAAGAAGCAAGACAATTTGAAATAATGTCCAGATTTTCCTCTTTGCTTTTCCCCTTGTTCTTGTATATCAATTCTTCTGAATAGTTTCAGTAGAGAACTATTTTGGAAGATGTTGTTGTGATTTTTTTTTTTAACCTAAAAATGATTTTATACCAGGCCATATTTTTAAACCCATTATGTTGTCCCATGGACAGATGTGGTTTTTCCCATGAGGGGATTAGAGTCTTAACCACCAATTTTGGTGAACGGTCTTGATCCCTTTCACTTCAACTCTCTGGACAATATCTTTATGTATAATATAGAGTTAATATGTTCTCCGAATTTCTTCCCAGGGAGTCCAGGAAATTAAATGAATTCATTTCTGCTAAAGTATTTCTAACTCTGGGGAAGCAAGATTTTTTTTTCCTTATAATAAAAAGTAAATGGTAGTATTACATTTTCTCTGTAGACATTAGACAAATACATACACCTGTCTTAACAGACTATGCTAGCATGTTTAAAAAAAAAACCCATTTCTTCATTTTACTTAACATTAACAGTTTTACTTGGTTTGGTGGGGCTACCAGCTAGCTTTATAACTTTGCATTTGACAGATCATATAATATCTCTGACCATTTTCTTCCTTATAAGCAGAAACGAGAACAGAAACAAACACAAAACAAAAACCAGAAACAAAACACACAAAACTTGGGAAGATGGGAGTTGCCTTCAAACATGAACTTAACGATTTTGTATCATTTATGAAGCTGTGTAGTATATACAAGGGGCTTTAAAAATACACATAACTAGGAGATAAAGTCACAACAAATATGTTATAATAAACTCAATAAATGAAACATTAAACATTTGTTTATAGAACAACTATATCTATGCCAGGCATTTTTGAAAACACAGAGAAAATGGAAGGCATGGTCTCTGGTCCCTGGGAAGTTAGTCTGTTTAGGAAAATGAAGTAGCTAAAATAGTAAATCAATTAGAGTGAATATATCCCAAGTGGTGCAGTGCTGATTATTATGCTAATGAAAATTGAAAGAAGGAAGAGAAAAGATGGGAATAACTTGGAGAAGACTCTATAAACATAGCCCGCATTTATGGAGTGTTTTCCATATACCCGGCAGGCATTGAGACTGCAATAATCTTTCCTGCAAGACGCAGTCACATGCATAGCTAGACCAGCAGCTCCATTCTGGGACGCAAAACGGCCACAAACAAAACAAAACAAAACAACAACTTAGACGTGAGGACCAGTTTATTGAGCTCCAAAGGCCAGGCAGATGACTCTTGGACATTGTGAGAGCTAATAGGGAGTATTTAGTAACTTCTGGAGCAGGAGAGTGACACAGTAAACATAGAAGAGATGTTTAGGGAAGACAGACTTCCGTACAGGCTAGAGAAATTTGGGGACTAGGTAAGGTGGGGCGAGAAAGTCAGAGACACTAGCTAAGGTTAAAGTTTTATGAAATCCTGG